AACAAGCCCGTGAGTATCCGTGGAATCAAATCATAGCACCGTCAACTGGAATCTAATTTAATAACTAACTAAAAGAAGGTCACTCTTTTTCCTTCAGTAAATTCACAGACACCTCTTAGTGTCAGCTTGTTTGCCAGTCTCTAGGGCACAGGAGGACATGTTCAAAACATGTTTAATCATTAACGTTTTCACATGAGTTTAAATCAAATAGAACCATTATACCTATTAGCACAAACACTGTCACACTGCTTCAAGGCCAGAACGGCTCTGTAGATGCGTGCGTGCGTGCGTGGGTGCAGGATAAATGAAAGAGTGAAGTCAACAGTGAAGAAAAAAGCTTACTAAAGAGCAATGCCTGAGCATAACTAGCATCACTTGATGAATCGTGTTTAAATACAATCGAGCCTGAAACCAATGCAATCTAGGGTAGCTACAGATTTACGTTTTCTAAGTAGGTTTAACAATCAGAGACAAAAGAAATCCAACAACCTTATCTATGTTGAATCTTTCAGCTGATGGTTTGGTCTGGTCTGCAGTGCTGATGTTGGTTTTTCCAACAGCACAGAAAATGTCCAGAAGCTTAAGGAGTAATTTATCGTCTACCTTAGAATAAGAAATGCTTTGCCCTAAAACTAAAGTCAATCTTTGTTACTTTTATTAAACTTTATCCACTTGACATTCGAGTTCCTTGATTGTATTCAACTAATAAACCAGTAAGCTTAGACCTTTACAACTGTAGACAATAAACTTTTGAGTTTATTTTGGTAATACATGTGTCTTTAGCTTGGTCCATGTATTACAGAAACTGGCGTAATGCTCGAGGTTCGCATGCTTTTTCTCTTCTGCTAATCTTTATCAATACATCTGGTCCTCATCACTGAATTCAAACACTATAAATCACATTTCTACAGAAACATCTAGCAACAGCTAATAATTATATTGCTACAGACTTTCGCTGGACTACATCCAAAACTTGGCTGAAGAGTTTTATTAAACCACAATGATTAGCTCATGCAATGACTATTTACTAATGTTAACACCGGGGGGTTGTTTTAAAAGACCAGTGTGTTTTGCTTGAAACAATTACAGTATGGCTACAAAGCACTACTGAGATTTTACACAATTTCTTCAATCTAAAGGTTGCCTCAGTGGGCTTAATGCACTTCAATATCAATAAGAGCTCAGGGGAATAAGTGTAGAATAGTGTCTGAATGTAATTTGTAGCAAACATTTATTTATATAGCCACTAAACAGGCCTGAGAGAGCTACTCCAAAACCCTGTCAGCAGTAATCAAGAAACCATATGGCTACATCCTAATTTGATAAAGCAACTGACTTATCGCATGAGGAATAAAAATATACGAGAGAAGCCAGAGTCGGTAAAAAAAAAAACTACTTTCCAAGGAAAATATTAGAAAAGGGTTAGATTCTGTGAAAAAGGTGCTTTCATTTTAGTACTGGAACTCAGGGAGCTGTCAAAGGCGACCACTGTTTTACAGCAACCCTGATCTCCACAATAACTCAGTGCGACGTTTACTGCACATGTTCATCTTCAGCTCTTTAGTGAAGATGCTCCTTCAGTCGAAGAATCGTTGAGGTTTTTGATAAGCAGATAGTCTATGAAGAGCATATTTCTAACAACAACAATAATACTGGTCAATCATACAAACAGATAACTTAAGGTGTTTTGAGACACTTTATACAACCTAATTATTATTCCCAATGGGACAGTAAACTTCTATTTTAAGGTCTACAAAGACCATCAAGTATCTAACTCTGATTATAGAAGAGAAACAATATAATTAAAACCTAATACCAGTGTAAGACACTACTGTGTTGTATAGCATGCTATCCTTTTGTTTCCCAACACTCCACTCACAGGGTTTAGTCCCTACCCCACAATGTCCCTCTGGGTAACATCCCCGACCTAGACAAAGCCAACCAGCACAGCAAAATTAATCTAGACAGTCTTGATTGAGAAATGCAAATTTGATCTTCTTTAAATCACCACTTGTTTCCGTGCTTGCTCCCCAGAGAAGGATGGCAGTCTCAGTGTGTTTTTATTGGCAAAGAAATTACCACTGGTGGTGCTGAAATCTCTTTCTAGCTCAACATTTCTCCTTTAAAACACAGGAGCATTTTGGGTTGCATCTCACACCTGCTGCTGCACATGAAAGCCATCCAGTGCTAAAAATAAGTTTAAGTGGAGTCAAAAAACCCCTAACTTCATACTAGAGGACTAAGAGGATATGAAAGGATTTTTATGTGCAGGGATGTGTAATGATTTGTAGGGTAATACGCAGCAAACATATCTCCATGAATGTTGTACACCCACCAGCCTGTGTACATTTAAATGCATTATTTAAAACTAAATCTTGGATGGGGTGGTGCCATGGCTTACCTGGATCGGACCGGGCAGGGTTGGGTCCCCCCCCCCCCCCCCCCACACACACACACCTACTGTCCTGTTCCATAAAAACTGAAAGCACCAAAGATAGAATTTGGAATGCACTTCTCACATGTCGCAGTTTTTATAAAACACCACAAAGCAAAGTCGAACCTCATGCTGCTTCTATAATCTGACTGATAAAGCAGTCCTTTCATGTTAACGCCAATAAAAGTACCTGCTGTCAGATATCAAAGTCTGCCGGTTTTATAGATCACCCCTTAAATCTTTATATACTATAATCCTCCCAATATATAAAAGGCAATACAACACATTAACTACCCAAAAGGGCAATCGAAATCTCTCTTATTATGATTAAGACGTTAATTGACCTTTAATATGTGCACATGTGAGGACAAGAAGATTGGAGTAGATAAAAATAAATAAATAAAAGAGGTCACAATGTACTGCATAAACGTGAGGCCTCAGAAGCACCTGAAGACACACACACACAGACTATGACATTTAAAAAGAAATATTTACTGTATTTCAACACAAGCATCAGTAAGCTCTTGAATGAGACGAAGTGAGATGTTGAAAGATTTGTTTCCCAAAAAGACCTAAAAATCTAGCCAATTTTAGCCCCTCTGAAGTCTGTATACATAAAAAAATCTACTTAATGAAATTAAAACAAGTTTAATGGATACAAATCTGATGGTTCGTGTAATCTTTGAGTCCCACTGAAAGCTAAGTTTAGCTGTTAAAACTGCACATGGTATCACTACCTTTCTTTTTCTCAACACTGAAGACTCGTCTGTGACACCTGACTTTTTTCCTGCCCACTACAGTTTTATTTAATCCATGACTAAAAACAAGTTCAAAGTCTCCTAACGTTCTCCTGCAGTTAAACTGAGCTAACCGAACACTTTCAGTGCCAACTGTCTCTGAATAATAATTACTTCAACTGTTTTAAAACGGACTGTTATCCTGAGAAATCTGAGGCAAGAAATAAGACTTGCCTAATCTCTCCTTTATCGACCATATATTACTGATAATCTGACAGCCTCCACATTTATTTGGGGCAATACAGTATCATTGTTTTTCAGAGGAGTGGAAAACTCCAAACATGTCTCTCTGTTTCTGTTAATGAACGCATCAAAGTGTTTGGGAAAGTAAGGAAAACTGTGTAGATTTCAGGCTAACTCTGCTAAGGTGCAATAGGTGATGGGTAACAACTGGTGCACCACTAAAACACTTCAGTTGGAGCATGTGCTCTTGGATTCCGACATAAATAGACTTTTGACAGTTTGGCTCAAAGGGCATACCAAACTGTTTCAAAATATCAAAAGAACACATCTTTACTCAGTGTTCTTCTCTCCCCATTATCTCTCCAACACATGTTGTCATTACAGCAGCTCTCTGAGCTCACTAGTGCATAGCCAATTCAGTAAAGTCTTTAATCACCACGGAAAATCAAACAACCTTGTCTTGCAGGAATACCGCCATTAGGTAGACAAAGGGTGCATGTGTGCCCATGTAGGTTTGATGGTATTATAGTTCGATCTCTATTAGTTTAAAGCATTTTTATACAAGCATTTTAGAGGATAATGCAGTGATAAGCAGACTAAAATCCCTTTGCTATAAGATACTGTCAAAGCTTTTGTAAGCTACTGACAATAATTCACACAAAAGGTTTAATATGTAACTTCGGTATAATGGATGATTTTAAATTCGATCTGTAAATCTAGGATTTGAGACTCATTAGTAAAGTTCTTATGGACAGGTTATCTACCTGTGTGTCAGACATGCAGCAGTGTATTATAACTCATTATACATGCTTGCCTCTATTCTGAATCGCTAGGTGTTTAGTCAAGTCTGAAAAACAGAGCAACAAAAAATGAGGGGTGGTATATGATACCCCTACCATATATATATATATATATAAATAAATAAAGATAACAAAAATGGAAAGTGATGAAAGAGCACAAAGAAAATGATGCAATGCTCTTAAGCTAACTGAATATGACTCCTTCAAAGCCAACAGTATACAGTCTACTGTATGAGTTCAACACCAGAGAGCGAAGAGAGCAAAGACTCCCTGCACTCCCCCGACTCTCTCTTTAGCTCCGTACACTCTTCTCTCGTTCTCTTTGCTGTGAGTGAGGTGATGAATGTGTATGTCTATCTCAGTTTCTATTAATAGTTTGGTGCAGGGCTGGAAGTGTCAAGGCTGGGGAGGGATGAGATCTTTCACCCTCTCCCTTACGCTCTCATAAACATACAGAATAAAAGCATGCTACCACAGAGTCCAGATGTAGCCGAAGTGGGGGTGTAGGTGGGGGTCTGTTGAACGAAGCAGAGAAGAGGGGGGTAGAGGTGCAGGACAAAAGCCTGCAGCAGAGCTTCAAACAGGGTACTGAGTGATTTACTACCCATATGACAGAAGCACAGCAGAGCTACACAAACACAGTGACGCACGAGTAATAAGACACATAGACTGTCAAACAATGACGCAACAGTTTTAGCCCTGTGAGCAGTGCGGTCTGACGTGTAAGAGACGAACAGTAGGTTTGATGGAGAATACTACTACCAGCTACACACTGAAACTTCCTACCTCTTGAGTTGGTAGCCAAGTCGGCCACTTTCTGAAATGCATCTAGGAAGGCGGCCACGGCAACCACTGTCGCCCTAGAAGAAATGAGAAAGACAAAGGTTGATTTAAAATAAAATGACAAAAAAATTTACCAAAAAAAAAAAAAAGAACTGCAGCATACAAGTGATGGTAGTCAAAGACACAAACAAATCTGATCATTTTAAGATGAAAAGAGCCACCCAACAGGGAGACGTTAGTGCAGTCCAGCGTAACCGATAACTCTCTGCTACGTTCACCATTAAAACAGTGGACATCACGTGTGCTGCCTCCTACATGCTCTACCCAGGCAGCTCTCTCGCCTAAACCGCGATCACTTCCTTTAGCGGACCCTTTCCTGCTGTGTGCTACATATGAGAAAGGACAACTGTGGAAAAATACCCCGAAATTCATGTGTGAAAATGGCATAAATGTGCTAGAGTATACTGAACATATTGTTTAGTGTGTGTTTAGGTTAAAACTTGAATGTGCCCTGCTGTGTGAGGAATGTCTATGCAATTACTTAAGAGACCACTGGAATCTGTCTGGCTCAGCAGAGCGGCTCTCGAGTTTGCCACACTTACAGGTCAATGAAAGGATCAATGGGATCTACCCTGTTCGGCTGTGAAATGGAAGAGCGAGTGTGCAACTTAAACCGGCGTTCCTGTCATCTTGCATCGCTTAGCAAAGTGCAAGTGCAGTATAAACTACCTTTTAATCGTGGCAGATTACAGAAAGGGCAAAATCCAGTGCATCATAAAAATGAATGGAAGTCTTGTGTTGTACTTTCTGTTTTACTCACTACAGAAACGGTCTTCCTAGTACACCAACTTGATTGCCGACCTGGCTGTCTGGCAGACCAGCTGTTGTGCGTGCTCGCAGCAGGCGGCTTAACTGTCGAACCCACTGACAAGTTAACGTACTTCAGATCTCCCATTGATTAAGATCACAGGTATAAATAGATGAAAGGCTCTCGGTGTGGGCACGTGCATGTATGTGATATCAGATCTACCAAACAGAGACTAGACAACCGCAATCAGTCATGCGTGCCAGACAAAGAAAGACAATTGATGAGAAATTTTCCACAGCACTCCCAGCCACAATAGATTGTTTGTTCTAACACAGGGGATGTTAATTTGTCAAATACTTGTTAACTTCCATGGGTAAAGACAAAACCTTCATAACACAACCTGGGAGTTTCCCACTAGGAACTACGTTTCACAACTGGAAAAAAAAAAAACAACAACACATAACTGATTACAGGACAGAACTGCAAAGGGAACAAAGGTATTAATATTCCAAGAAAAATGTACTACAGAAATAGCAATAACACATCAGGGTTGTAGCCACCATCGTATAGTCAGGTTCCATCCATGTTTTTTCTGTTCATAAAGGCTTCTTCTTCTTTTGGATAGTCCCTCCAAGGGTCATCTGCCACCATCTCATCCTATTCCTAGCATCCTTCTTTGTCATATGAACCCTCTGCAAGTCACTACATCCATGAACCGTCTCCGTGGTCTTCCTCCTCTGTTCACCGTCCCTCCTTTGTACATGTCCAAACCATCTCAAACTTGCCTTCTTTAACTTTTTCTCCAGCAATAATAGGCGATACCTTCAAATAAGGTTTTAGTGTCACTAATTAGACATCTGCACAAATATGAACTGTTGTCACAATGCCCCCTACTTTTATTCTTTATCAATTTTTCCCATTAAACATTTTTACTTTACTTAACTTTGCTCCAGGCATTCTTTGGATATTACATTTCTGCATGGATGATGGTGACTGAAAGCATAATGCCTCAGGCTACGAATGGGCTGTCGCCAGCATGGAGGCATGAAAATAGATGTTTATCCAAAGACACATACAAGGCAATGCTGAAAGGTTTTTGCACAACACACCTAAACCTCAATCAATCTGTCAGCAGTTGTGTTGCAGTGTGGGTAATGCTGGATCCTGGATACAACAGGAAGAAACAATGAAGGAATAAGCTAATTAGAAAATCAACCCTGGTTCTACAGCATTGACTTGACATCGTTTGCTTTATGTCTCACAGTATTATCAGGAGCGCAATAATAAATCGTTTTCTATTAATACATATCTTTTGGGATAGAAGGAAACTGGGTTTCAACCAAGAACAAGTGATGGAAATAAATTCTGCTTCACATACATTCCTAATGCTGACTTACATATAGTGTGCATTTGTATCTCACTGTTTCAATAAAGTTGTTTGGAGATATCTCAGAGAGGCCTTATGCAAGGCTGACAGAAAGGAAAAGCAGACCAGATGATAAACAACCCTGATGCAAAGATTAGTCAGAGCAGGGCTGTTAGGTGCTAGCATCCTTCAAAGGACAAAACTTTTTCTTTATCACTGCAAAAAACCTAATGCAATATTGCCTAACAAGTGTTGTGTTGTTTCAGAGCTGACCAAGAGATCCTGGGGTGTGTCCTGCGAATGGAAAAAGAAACATACGCGCAGGCAGACATAGATTCCTTTCTATTTCAAGCCCAGTGCGGGCACCAGAACAACCTCTAACTGATATCTGCCCCCACTAATTTATAACATGCACACATTGGTCTATGGATCATATTTTACATGCATTTGCAGCAAAGTCCAGTTTAACTCATTAATTCAAAGCAGACTTGTGCAAACACTGCTTTCAGCAACCCTGGCTCCAGACAACTTAAGTACAATATGTGGTAGTTAACCGTTACTTGTGATGATTATCTGCTTACTTTTGCAAGAAAATGCTATTAGTCTAGTTTTAACATTAATTCCAGCTCTGTGACCTTTTTGTGTTACAACACAAAGAAAATTGGTAACCCTAACCCAACTGGGAGGAGAACCTAGGGCCGATCCAGGACATGCTGGAGAGATTATGTCTTTTGGATACCTTGGGAATGCCTAGAAGAGCTGGATGAGGTGGCTGAGGAGAGAGAGGTCTGACTATCACTACTCAGAGTGCTGGTCCTGTGACACAGTCCCACATAAGGACTAGAAACGGATAAAATGGATGGATAAAAAAAAAAAAGTCTCAACATGCCAAAAATAAGACAGAAAAAAAAGAATCGGCTCTCGACAGCAGTACAATAGTGACCTCACTTCTACCAATGGTCTTAAAATCTGCACACACCCCTGTTCTTGATTTAGCAAAAATGACTTTAACATAACTATTCCAGAAGGCTTTGGTCAAGCCAATTCAAACTCCCTATACAGATTGACACAGTCCAGCAAAGTGCACTTTCTGACAATGATACATTCAGCACCACTGCCCTCACAGCTCTATATTCTTAGTGCAGCAGAAACTGGAAAGAAACTGGAGCAAGTTTGAGTAGGAAGAGGGTCTGTTCAACTCAAATTGATAGCTCTTTATCAATAAATGAATCTACATACATATCCTACTGCTTATTTGAGCCAAGTAAGTTTTTCTAAAGATAGAAAAATAGTTCAAATCCAACACGAGCTGTCTTTTTAAGGTTTATGTTGGTCTCTTTCAACAGAAAATGAACTTAAAAGCAGACTGGTGGGGGACCGTATCAAAGCCCAGCTTGGACACAGCTGTGTCAACCTCGGTACACCAAACAGACCAAACACTGACAAGTTAAAGGAGGACTGTCATTAGAAATCAGTTAGCCTATATTCCACCCTGCCTTCCTTCTTCAAAGCTCTGTTCTATACGCAATCACATGTGTATATATTTGTGCGTATGTATGTGTGTGCGCGCGCACACAATGGCTCTTTAGAACCACAAAGAGCAGAGGGAAAAAAATGACAGAACTACCCGAACACTGTAATTGGTTGATTTCCTAGTTACTTTGTAGGGGAGAGGGGGGCAGAGGGGCTAAATTACAGAGTAGTCTGCCTTAGGGCATCATTACACACACAGACATATGCCGCTAACACCGCTGGCTAGTCACTTATCCAGGCCAAGGAGGGAAGGTGGGTGTGTTTGTGTCGTACTCTGCGTATGTGTTTGTGTGTATGTGCGCCCCTCTATGTAGTCCACTCCCCAAACAGATTACAGAGGACTGTGGGTTGGGGGTTGTGATGTAGTCAAAAGGGCTATTTTTGCATTTGTAATGGCTTGAGAGAGGCTTTAAAGGCAAAAGAATTAGTCTTATTTGTAGGTCACCATGAGCAATCCTGCACTTATTAGTGATCCAGCAGCAAGGGCATCATTAAAGGCACCCATATGCAACAACCACTGCAGACTGTAGCAGGGTGTAGGCCAAGATTAATCAGGAACATTAAGTCTAAAATGATCCTGTGAAGGATGAAATGTTTTCTGAGAGCATCAACTGGCTCATCCTCACAGAGCTGTCCAACTGACACAATGACTATACATTACATGCCACAAAAAAGGCAAACAATCATCCAGCTACCACTAGTGTACTGAGACTAAATAAAAAGATCCTAGTGTAAACTCACTAGTGTAAACCCCACCCCAAGTCAAAATCAGCAGGTTTGTACTTTTACCAATGTTCGGAGACCCAGACACACAAACACTGTTCTGCTAAACAACCAGTCATTAGCAAAGAGGTCACAAATACTCCCCTGAGCCTTAGCATGCCAGGGTCACATATTTAACCCCCGAATGATGGAGACGCTTGAATAACACATCACCATTAATCAGCCCTAATAGTGAGAAAATGGACAAAGAGGACATGGAATTCCTCTTGGAAAGAATTGTTAAGTCACTGAGCCTTTATACAGCTGTCCCTGTGAGTCTGTTTGAGGACACGTGGACACTTAAACGGAAAGAAAAATGCCATGCACTGTTAATCAAAGAATAATTGAAACCACAGGACACTTGTGTTTGCAGAACCCAATGGACAATGAGCTTTTATTTCAGCTGTCATAAGTTATTGGACTGGTGACACGTGCCCACTTAAAAACTACTAGGAGAGGTGGCTGGGATTGGCATCCATTGTTAGAGGACGACTTGGAATAATAACGGCAAAAGGTGTGTAACTGTACAACAGAGGAATGTCTTAAAGACGGTAAAATGATGAAGAGGGAAATGTAAAAGACCGAATCATCAGCTGTGTAAGTGATGAAGGCAAAAACCAGGATATATGTATTTATTCACTTCATTGTGCCATTGGCGTGCATGAGATATTATTATTATTATTAATAGACTAAATAATGTGTTGTTTTAGTTAATCAGCCCTGTGTTTATTATCCCACCTATCTGAATTTGCTCAAACGTCATCACAAATGCAACGATTAGTAACGTACTTGTCATTAAAAAAAGATTGTAAACCCCGAATCTTTAGATTTTCGTATATATTATGTTTATTTTATCATCCCCTTGTGAATACGGTGTTATTCTCCATTTGTTTGTCACATTCAGCACACAGATGAAAATATGCACCTGTTAAACCTCGCAATTTTGAAAAAGAAAAGGCTACAGTCTTATCATTAACCTGCATATGTCACGTTTTCATGTGTTGGTGATTAAGCTTGTGACATGGAAGCTTCAGAGAATGACACAGACAGGTAACAAATTTGAGGAAAAACCCAAACCCTTGGACCACCATAACAAGGGGATCCAGTGGGTCTGCTGTGCTAGTTCCTCTTGTCCATTTAGAGGAAATGGTCACAGCAATACAAAGATGTTCATGTGCAAGTAATCTCCTTTAGCCTGTAAAAATTTATAACCTGTTGTGATTAGTCTCGAGAATGATAATGCCCCCATCTATTAGGTTATGCAATATCTACCTCTATGAGTAAAGGACATAAAAACACACATACACATGCACAAAAACATGCTCTCACCTGAGCTGCGACTGCAGTTTGCCTGCCTTGGTGATAAAGTCCTCCCAAATAGGGTAGCTGCTCTGTGGAAGTAAAAAAAAGAAAAAAGACTCAATCATGACTGACTGACAAGATCTCATGACATGATCAGATTTCACTTTTCCCACAGTTGCATAAGAATTAAACCGATAAAGGTCATACTGATGCCTCACCTCACCTGCAGGGCTAAACAAATCTAAACCAAGGTTTAGGCTTCCCTATGCAACCAAACCCCAAAATAACACGTTTTTCCACCTTATCAACAGCAGACCTGAGGGTTTCTGGAAATAAAAGCTAAAAATGAATCAATCAGTTGTATGCAAATGAAAATCATTGGCTCTCCCAAGAATCTGGCTTTCATTTCACCCATGTTTTGTTCAATATTTCCTGCACAGACACATTTAACTGAAAAACAGGAATGGGCTCAACGACGTCCTGCGCGTGTTAGATTTCAAAATGGGTCAGAGATGTCTTTTAGCTCTAATACTATGGTATAATGAGCCTGGTTCCCAATAGGGGGGCTTTAAATGTTTCCTAATTCAGGTCCCGGGCTGAAAATAGCTGAAGAGTCTTTTATCAAAACCATTACAGAGACCAAGTGGCCTAATCCGTCGTCAAGAGGAGCTAGTAAGGGAGCACAAGATAAAATGATGACTATAGCATGAGCACATGTTTGCCATTAATGTGTTACTACTGTCAGAGGCCTGAGGAATGTTATGTTATGCTGTCAAACTTTACACCCAAACACCATCCCTAGTCTCTACTACTCCTGGTAGTAGAGACTAGGGATGGTCTCTATCATTCTTTGAATAATGCAGTCACCCTTACATCACCTCTGCCCATCTTCTCTCATCGTGTCATCCTGGTCCCCTCTGCAAACCTCCTGTTAACTCTCTCTCTCTAAACATCACCAAGACGAATGAGCTTCCCCTGCATCTACCCTATCCTGCCATCACTCCTCAACAGATTAGGCTTACATACTGTGAAAGGTTACAGTAGGCAGGCATATCTTCATCAGCTGTGCCATAAAAGACAATGGGAATTTGAATCTTTTTTGTTTAGATTACTACGTGCATTTGCACATTTTTTATTGGCACTACCTTGCAAGCAGAGTGGCCTGACAACCAAAAACAAAAATTCAGTGGAGCAGGGAGTGAGGCGTGAAGAAGGTCTCATAACAAACTTTCTGACTCCATCAGGCAGGCCATGTCAGAGCCTTCAGACCCTGTGGGTAGGTTTCTACACTGACAGCTAGGTCCCCGGGCATTCCATTAGGCAAACACAACAGCTGGGGAATCAGCTAATTGTCTCATCAGCCAAGCTCTGTCAAAAAATAACATCAAAACAAGACGCCCTAGTTTGACTGCCCCAGTTAGCCTTTAATGTTGGTCACTACATCTGCTTCAAACTGGAGCAAATAAGAAGACTGCATTGAAACGTAACAAAACACATACCGCAAAAAAGCAAAACAAAAGAAGCAGGGCAATTTACATTATGGCCACACAAGCTGATAACCATCAAGTGAAAATCATTTTTCTATTCGTATAAATGCATACAAGAGGTTAGGGTTGATTTTAAGCTGAGATCAAAAGCCTGGCTCTAAGTGCAAGTTTAAACTTAGCTAACCAACCACGGCTCTCGTTTACCAGTTACCAGGCTGCTGTTAGGGGAGTCAAGTAGCTAGTTATGTTTTGGATGTGGCTCTTTGATAAATTAAGTGATAGTGTAAAGTTTAAAAGGCTTACTTTCATGTCTGCGATAACAGTTTGAAAGAGTCCTCCGAGCGCGCTGCATTCCTTCTCGATAACAGCCTCCATTTTTCAGGACCAACTCCAGCGGTCAGTCCCGACTCCGAGAGCCGTTTTCACTTCACCTCCTCCGCTCTCCACGAAAAACACAAACTCTACACAACCCTAAAACTGATTCGTAAAAAAAAATCAAGCAAACCCGCGAGAAATAACGTCGACTGCTCTAGTAACTTTTATCGCGAGGAAACACTGGCCGTTTTTTTCTGCTGAGGTGCACCGTAACTACTTCAAATCAAAAGAAGCTGTCGGGACGAAAAGAAATTTAAATCCCCCTCTCCCCTCCACGCCGCCCCGCTCATATCCATAACTGAAGCGCCAAGATACTGTTTGGAAGTCTGCTAATCGAAACGCATATAATCCACGATGTTCAGCTGATAACGTTATTCCGCAGCTTGACAGGTAGTTTTAATATCGACACCCGAGGTTTGCCCTTACTTCACAACACTGAGAGGGAGAAAAAGCAGTAACGAGCCGTCAAGCCTAGCTGAAAGACACAAAAAGTGCACTTCCGATCGCCTGTTTGTCATCAAAATAAAACATAAACTTACTGGAGGATTTAAGGTCATAGCTCGTTCAGCGTTGTAATTATATCATTAATAGACACAAATAACCAATCGAACATAATTTAAAATTGAATACTACGACCTGGTGGTAGCTCAAGGTTTTTATTTTTGGTTTTTATTGTGAAGTACCTACGAAGGAGTCTTGTTACTTCCGGTTTAGGCTGCTGCAGATGTGCAGGTGAAGTAACGCACGTTTACAAGTGACTTCTAGCGTATCCTTAAGCAAGTCTGATTTTGTTTGTTTGTTTAATTTTTAGTTCAAATAGCACAGAAACAACGACTTAACGTGTTATTTCAATGAATCACAAACGTGTTTCAAAAATGTTTTATTTCCTATAAATGTAGTTTGACTTCGAAAATATTGAGACCGCAGTGATAAAGCAAATTATTTCAAAAATACATCATCATACATTCTTGTTGGTGCAAATTCAGTTGCTATTTAAACTGAACATAGTTTAGGATATGTTAATTTAGAAAAGTGACGCAACAAATCACAACAGTTTTATTAGCAAAGCACGACATCTAGTGGTCGAAATAAAAATCACAAGATAAAATCACCGCAAGGGACTTTATTAATCCAGGAGGGAAATATGCTGAATATGCTGTATTTCCATGCAGAAATTGCAGAAATTGCAGTTTACTCGCACTCATACTCTTTATTCAATACATCTTGAAAAGTTCATAATCATTCTCAACACAAAAGCTGATACATTTTGAAACATAGAGGACTTATATATGCATCCTGTAGTAGTAGAGTAACAGTGAAATCAAATATGTATAACTATGTATTATAAAAAATATACTATAGCAACACTTTGTAAGATCCAGTAAGCCCTGTGAAATAATTCATCTCAAACAGATACAGGACAATGACTTGCAAAGGAAAGTACACCCTTTCAGTTATAATGTTTTGCTTATCAGGTCATAATAAAAGTCATCTGATCCGTACCAGATCTTAAAATTAGGCAAATGCAGCCTCTGATGAACAAAAACACATATTACAACATATTACAGTGTGTCATTATTTATTCAGCTAAAACTAAGCTAAAAATGCAGAAGCAGTGTGTAGAAAAATTTTGTTACTGCTTCCATAGGAATTAATAGGCAACTAACAGCTAAGTGCTGCAAGTGTGGGAACCTCTGTAAAAGCAAAGGTTATGTCAGTTTACTGGTCTGGATGTGTGTTAACGTGATACCACAATGTTCTCAAGAGTGGATATGCCAGCAATTTCAGAGTGGGTCAAATTGCTCTACAACAATGTGAGAGACTGATAAAGTCATACAGAAACCTATTAGGTGAACAGTAATAGCTATTGGATGAAGGGAGCTTTTTTTCTCTACAAATTGCTTTTGTATTTTGACTTAGTTTTTGTTAAATAATTAATGGAACACTGTGACATGTCATGTTTTGTTCCTCTGAGGTTGTATTTACCCAACGTTAACACCTGTAAGGCTAAATGACTTTTAATAATGTTCTATTATGTAGAATTGAATTTCTTTTTAAATATACTTGTATCTAAGGTAACTGGAACTGGAAATGTAATATTACAAAATAAAATAAAAATATCCGCTAATAATCACATCACAATTAGCTCTACTGATTAGGATTTTACACAAGCAGGGACATTTTTGTGTAGGTTGTAAATACAATAAAGCCTCGTTATTTTAGACTGAGAAACATTTTGCTAAAATATATAGATGGAAAAAATGGAGACAGAACTCCAACTGTCAGAGTGAGGACTTGGAGGGTTTCATAAAGTTGAAAAGAGTCAAAACCAGTTTATACATGATAATTGAAACTCCCAGCAACAAGACTCGTGCGTTCATAAAACCCTGCACTGTAATTTAAAATGTTCTGACTTTGGCAACTCTTAATTACAATATTAAAACCCCCCAAAAACAAACAAACTGTTGACTGTGACAGACAAGTTAGTTTTATTTTTTTAATTTACGACTTTTATTTGTTGCTCTAAAATGCATTTAAAATATCAAACAATCAAAAACATATTAATTTAACACTATTTTAAATTAACAATATGTTCCAGTTACCTAACACAAACAAAAGTATGCAGCAAAAACAAATCATAAATCACGTACCGAGTAAGATAGTTATTCATTTAAGCGGTTTAATAAGGCATCAACACAATTAAGTATTAAGGTCAAATATTAAAACATTCTATTTAAAATATACTTTTTAACAAAAATTAATGAACAGGTTAAATTATTGATTTTATTTATCTGTAAGTCACTGAAGTCAGCTACATTACCAGTAATGACCAAGTCTGCAGTAGGTTACAATATTTTGAAAAACATTCAATCAAAAATATTAAGACATTCAAACACCAGATCCACCTTCATTTTAAGCCACATGAACATTTCATGACAGCAGTGTTAAAATCAGAGTTCACAGCGCCTTAGCACCAAGGTATGTCAGCGACACTGGGATTAAGAATATGCCTGCTGTTTGTAGTCTGTGAAGCATATTGTGCCATCAAAGTAATCTAATCTAATATTTGTAATGGAACTAAAAATGGGAATTGTTTCTTCCAGTGAAGCAGTGATTTAGAAACTGGGACATTATCTGTTTGCTTAACGTAGCAGGGAGGAAAACAAAACTCGAGCATCATTTGAATTATTTTAATGACCCTCACTAGTTTCACAGTCCTGTGCAATATAATCACTCACAGCTTTCCTTATCTTCCCATATCAATTTTGAGTGATTAGCATCAAAAGTTGCAAAACTCTCGGTTAATAAATCAAATCTATACGCTGATAACGAGCCCTATAAGTACTGTTCTTTAACCCTGTCCTCAAAATACCTTTATCAGCCCTGTGTGAATTTACGTGAATTTCGTGATTTCGATATCTCAAAATAAATTACTGCAGAAACATTAACATCCAGACATCTTGCCAGATGTTTTGTCTGAGGCTGAGAATTTCGTCATCTATATTTTTCCACCGTAGCTTTGATGTGGTGATCACTTTCTGACAAGAGCGTCGTAATAGGAAATAACAGTGTGCGCTTTGCCGAACTCAGTAGCAGAGCTCTCTAAGGAGCCACAATGTGGCTCATGTTTTAATACATGTCGAAGTTATGAAGCAGGAAGTTGGAAAATCAAGTTGTGTCCATTTTCGCGGTTACTTCCTCCACCTCTTGAAGCCCATCACCATACTGCAGCCATAGCATAGTGTCACCACAAAGGCAAATATCTGGGACAGAGAAGAAAGGGGGTTAACCAACATTATGGCCATTATGGAACTACCAGGCCAAATATTATAGCCTGGCAGTTCCAGCTAAAAGCTGGGCACAATAGATACTCTTTTCTCTTTATAAAACATGACACATGCTTTCACGTTACCAAGAGCTGTATGCAAAAATCTAAATGCAAACCACAGGCTGTATGTAAAAGGTGGACATAGTCACCATGACAGCACTCACTGGTTAGTGAAGAAGTGTTGAGAAGCCTCAAACTGAGCATTTTCTCTGTTGTTGTACTGAGGTTTTGAACCCAGACATGGTGAGCAAGGAAACACGGCATGATGATAGGCTAGTGTCTTTATCCTGCTTTTCAAGCCTAATGGGACCACAAGGTCATAAGGTGGCAGATCAAAGGGGCTGAGGACCACTTCCTACAGACTTCTATACAGACAGGCATCTTTATGAAACCAGAGGAATTCCCCCCTGCTGGCCATTAGAAAGCGACTGACTTAAGAATGTTCATCTTTTATATACAGTCTATGTCCAAAACCAAAGCAGCAGGGGGTAATTATAATGAATGGACCTTCTGTAAAACCACATGTACTGTTGCTGGCAGTCGTGCAACTATATTATAACTAGTCGCTGTCAAAATTACTGCATTAACACAAATTAATCCGCCATCACGGTCAACACGGTTAAAATTTTTATCGCAATTAACGCATCTGGAGTGCAGGATGACTCAAAATCCCTTAAGTGTTTCTGTCTACGCATTTGTCGGGCAGTTTGTCCAAGTAGAGTTACCTTCGCACATGCGCAAATGGGCAGTTGATCTGGTAGTGACGGGCAGCTGAAGATGATAAATGCACACTGGCCCTCTCGATGGGAAATTTGAGTATTAAAAAATAACAAGACGGAACAGTCGACTGACACAAAGTATTATGCACATTGTGCAGGAAGGAATTTTCTTTTCACCGAAGCACTTCCAGCTTAAAGTATCACATTGACGCGAAGCATAGTTAGTCGGGGATGCTGCTAGCACTTTGGCTAACGTCACCCAGCTGCGACAAACCACTCACGGAGCATCGGGGACTCAGTAAGTCTACCTCGGACATATTGACTGACACAATTGCCAAGTGGATTGCAACAAACTTCAGACCTATTAATATCGTTGAGAACACACGCTTTACATAGCTTTGGTTCCTCGTTTCATGGACTTGAAGGTCCTCCCCAAAAGTCTTTGTGTTTATTCTGCATTTACTTCATTATGTTGCATAAATGTCAGTTACAAGCTTAAATATAAAGTTAAGTAATTGCAATTAGGCTATTGATCAGGTAATTGCGATTAATTACAGAAAATTGTGCGATTAATTAGTTAATTTTTTTTAATCTATTGACAGCAATAATTATAACATTACATTTTTTTTTTAAATCTTTCAACAACACTTGCAATATCAGAGACTGAATGTGACAACATATACAGGACTTACCGTGGCCACCACATTAATACTGTACTGCCTGCCATCCAGGAATGTCAAAATATTGCCGCGAGGTTTCAATATGCATGCGGTTTGGTTTGGTAGAATCTTGATGGCAGCTGCTGTTGTTGCTGCCTCCAACACAAAGGCGGCAAAGTAGAAGAGGAGAGCTATGAAATGGTAAAAAAGATCCTGAGAAAAAGAAGAGGAAACACATTATGCACTTTTAGCTTTCAGGGATAAACAACTACAGGCAAGAGTTTTCTTTTTTTCTTCTTCTTTTTTTGATAAAATTGTTGAACAGCTTAGATTTCATTACTCGGTCCTTATGCCAGTACATGGGAATAAATAAAAGC